AAGGGCCCAGGGAGGCCCGAGCGGAGTGGGGTCTAGGACGGAGTCCCGGCGGGCGCCCGCCGCCTGGCCGTGACAGGCCTTGGGGCCCCTGCCCTCGGAAGTCCGCCTGGGGTATCCTCCCGCGTCCGAGGGAATGAGCAGCGCTAACATTGTTGGCACTGGGTGTGTGCCAGGCGCTGGTCTAAGTGCTTTATATGTAGTAACTCGTTTACTCTCAACAACCCCATTAGGTAGAGGCATTATTGTCCCCGTTTTACAGTTGGGATGTTCAGGTTCAGAGAACCCACCCCAGGTCACGAAGCTGGCAAGGGCTGGATCTGGGCTTCAGACCTTTGCCCTCAGTTACTGGTCCTGTGACCCGCATGCCCAGGTCAAGGGAAGGAGGAGGGACCAGTGCTGTCTGGTTCCTCCCAGGGATTCTGAGACCCCCCCACTGCGTGTCTTCCCATTGTCCAAGCTGGAGGTTGTGTCGGCAGGCTGGGGGAGGCTGGTGTTATCTGAGCCTTGAGACGCTTCCTTAGGGAATTAACGCCCCTTCAAAGCCGCACAGTCAGAAGCCTTTCTGTCCAGTTTCCGGGCAGGCCTGTCAAGGCACGTTTCCCCCCTCGCCTGGTCTGTCCCCATCACTTACCCCCCAGGAAGCTTAGGCATCTCTCGTATCCTTGCTGCCTCTGCTCACAGTTCTAATGACTCTTTGTAACCCAAGTCAAGTCAAACGAAGCGTGCTCCCTCCAGAATGATTTCTGGGGGCCTAAAAGAAGAGGCATGTGTACAAAACACGATCAAAACTGGCGTAAAAATCACGGGGAAACTTGTTTTCGAGCTTTCTTGCAGCCAGTTCACAGAGGGAAGGATTATGAGTTTCACGGCTCTCATACTCAAAAGGGGAGAAACATACCAATTTCTCAGGAGAGTCTAAGGTTTTGTTGGTTCTAAATTTAAACACACACCTACCCACCCACACCCCAAAAGCAAATTGACAATGTATTACCACATGAAACCTTTACAAGTTTCGTTTACTTGTATTCACCTTTCGTGCACTCTCTCTGTAGGCAAATAGACACAAGAAATCTGACCCTCCCCCAAAATCCCCTAACCCTGAAATATACTTGTCACCTTTATACAAGAGTAAAAGAGATGTTGGAGGACAAACTGGATGGTGTTTTGATGACACTGTGGCTGTCTTTTGATCTGGATCTCTGGTGAAGACTGAGCACAGGAAACAGGAGGTGGGAGGGTGAGGTGGCGGCAGTCCTGGGAGGGAGCTTCCTGGTGGCCCAGGGATGTGTGGGCGGGAGTCACACACTTAGAACAGCGGGGTGAGAGCTCACTGCCTACCGCTGACTGTTCCCCAGGGCAAGGCGGTACCTGAACTGGAAAGGAAGAGCCCCTAAGTGAATTCACTAACAGTGGGAATCAAATAGGAGTAACATCAATAGTGGGGCAGAGGAGTTTGAGAATTCATCCTGAAAAAAGGGCAGGGGGATATTTGCATTTGTCTTGTCCTCAAGGAAATTTAGGTTATGAATGCAATTATAAGTTAATTTGTTGAACCAACAAAAGAGTAACCAAGTGTTGCTTCGGCGGGGTCATAGTTTTCCCAACAGACTGTACAATACCTCTACCCGTTGTCCACGTCATGTGTGGTTTCCTCAGCTCCGACAGGGAGGATAGGCTGCACAAAGGCCTGTGCAAGGACATGGTCCCTCTCCCCAAGAATGTCTCTCTGTCCTTTGATATTCAAACCACTTCTTGTCGAAGTACCGCCCTGCCTGTCGTTAGCCTCCTCACTTCCTGTCCCCAGTCGCCTGCCGGTTCTGGTGCATCTGGAGGGACGTCTGAGCGAAGCCCAGCTGTACGAACAGTCACTTCGTTAGTGAAACTCTTTGTGTTATGGCATGTCTGTTTAGCTCTGCAGGCTCCCGGGTGATCGGCATGCCACCCATCAGGACCTCCCGGGCATCACGGTCTGGGAGTGGCTAGGGCTCGGGGCCTCAGGATCAACCAGGGCCATCCTCACTAACTTTGTGCCTTTGGGCAGTTCACCCTGTGGCCTCAGTTTCTCAGCCTGAAAATGGGGATGACAGCTGGGCTGCCTTGTAGGGCTGAGCGAGGTGGTCTGCGTGCAGCGATTCACCGGAACTTTCTGAATTTAGCCGTTGAACTTCGTTATTAACCCGCAGTTCTGTCGTCCTTCAGTAAATGAAATCCGCTGGTGGACACTGAACGCGCACCAGCCGTCGGGATTCACGCTGGCGGTTCTGGTTGTCTTTGCCCTTGGCCTGTGTGGCCTGACTGCCCTGGGCCTCACGGGAGGCTCTCTCCAAGTTGTCAGGAGGGGACTCCCAGGGTCTGCCTGAGTCCTGCAGTCTCAACGTCCCTCTGAGTTTTTGTGAGACGTGCTAATGTGTGGAAGCCTTTTTTTCTTGCATGAACGATAAACACTCACTTTTCTTGGTGGGTCTTTTAAGAAGAGCTGGTAGCAGACAGTTGGAGATTCCATTTGTGATGCAGGCCTGAGACAGCTGTCAGATACAGGTATTTTATTACATTTAGATTACAGATATTTTGGAGTGAGTGAGGGAAGCTGTTTCGTTAGGATGTTTCCCAGTGTAGGTGACAGACAGCCACGTGAAACCGTCTTATGACCCCAAAGGGGTATGGACGGGCAGATCTGAAAGGACGCGGAGACTCGCACGATTTCTTTCTGCACCTCCAAGATCTGCAGTCGCCTCGGCTCGGCCTTGGAGGGGCTCTCCCCGCGCTAAAATCACCAGCCTCTGCGCCTCCGCCCCTCTCCCTTCCCCACGTCCGCAGTGAAAGTCCCAGGGCTGAATCACCTGGGATCAGCCTGGGTCATGTGCCTGCCCCTCAACCAATTGCTGTTTGAAGGACACGTTAATGTTAAAACGACTTCCGTGCATCTGAGAGCTTAAAAACCTCTAAATAGCATTTGTCCCGGAAGAAATCATAAGTGGAAATGACAAGCCATTTAGAACTGCCCTCCCCCAGAGACCACTCACCTACTTTCTGTTTCTGTGGCTTTGCTGTTCTGGACGTTTCCTGTGGAGGGCCTCCGCCTCTGTGGCCCTGTGTCCGCCTTCTTTCCCTCAGCGGTCGAGGTCCTCTGTGTCCCAGCCTGTGTCAGGACTCCTCCGCTTCCTCGATTCTTGCTTCCTCGATAACCCGGAGGATGAAATGACATCACGTTTGCAAAAGGGCCTCGTTTAGGGCCTGACACACACAGGGCGTTTAGGAAAGTTCCCTTCCCTTCCCAGGTCGTCGGATTCCACCGGCGATGCCACC